CCAGCAAGCAGAGAGCAAGAGGAGCCAGGGACAAGGGTGCACCCTTCAGCTCACCTCCGCTTGGTGACCTGCCTCCTTCGAACAGCGTAGCGAAATGAACTCATCAGTGGGCTACTCTGCTGGTCATTACAGCACCCCAGGATCCAGTTACCTTCCAAAAGCCGCACCTCTGAACACACGAGACTTTGGGGGACAATTTACATCTAAATCATAACATATATAAGTGTTCCTTGTGAAAGGATACCAAAGCATCTTATGGGAACAATTTCATTATTTGGTATGATACTAAATACTCCTGGAGAACTACACACTAGGCTAAAACTAGAGTAAGATCCAGAGTTATTTTTCTCTGAATCTTTTGTCTTGTCCCAGCCCTTCCTAAAAACATCAGAATGTAAATGCAGGGTGAAGATGGTCTCTTCACTCCCTTCTGCATGTGTGCTTGGCTGCAAAGGATGACAGTGAACGTCCACAGTGCTTCAGATAAGAACTGGTTTACAGTACCAATTCCCTTCCTTAGTAAAGTCAAAGTACTACTGGATCAAACTGACAGCCATAGTGCAGCAGGATTTCAACACTGAGGACCAGCCACTGAAGCCCTTGCAGAATTATTTCAGGTACCACACTGATGTGTATTCTTTGCCAGCCCCTTGGGGGTTACTGCCCTGCCACAGTCATCCTGGGCAGAGCAGCTCACAGCCCGGCTTTCCAAATCCAGAACTATGCCAAACAACCGCTTGCCCCTGGGGTCGCATTATAGAGAGGAAAATAAACCTCCTAGAGTGCTCTTTCCATCTGGGCAAACTGTCCCTCTCTGCCCTAAGGAAGGCCATACTTCAGACAGGCAGCCAGTGATGCTATAACATGGCCTGCTTTCCTCACCTTCTCTCTCCAGAAGCCACAGCTTGGTCACAGATTGTAGGGCCAAAGAATCCACAAGATAATCTGTCCAGGTGCCTCACACATGATCCAGACAAGGAAACTGGCCTACACAAGTAAGTAGTTTGTCAGTAGGTGCACAGGATATTAGCAACAGGTCGGGTGATGGCTATTTCCACTGTATTGTAAAATACTCCAGAGTAAAAACTCCTGGAAAATCAGAATTATACTTCTGGGGTTTCTATTTACATGCTCTTGCCTTGTGAGGAAATCAACGTTTTTTTACCATTTGTAAAAATATTTGGGGCCAGCTAAAAAGAAGTATGCACTTTTGTTCTGCTGACTCATAAAGCAAAATTATTGTAAGTGAAAACGGGACTAATTCTCTTTCCTTGGCTCCATTCCCTCCCTCCCTTCTGTCTGTCCATCCATTCTTTTTTCATTTTTTGAGATAGGGTTTTATTACACCGTCCAGGGAGGGTAGCCTTGAACTTGGAATCTTCCTGCCTTAGCCTCCCAAGTACTGGAATTCCAGGCATGCGCTGCTGTACTTAGTCTGTTCCATTCTTATTAGATATATGAATTTATATGAACTGTCCTTTCAATTTGACTACAAATTACACTTTCAGACTTCAGAATAAACTAAAGATAATACCAAGAAGGGAAGGTTTACTAGTTGGACAACTAATGATGTAGATTTCTTTCTTAGAAATATCAACTAGCGATACTGCTAATAAGCATCTGGAAATGAAAATTAAAGTGGAGAAAACAGTACAGCTACTTCGGACATTAAAAGTATACTTATCCATGTCAGTTTCTATAAAATTTTGCTATCATGGAGTAAAAAACCTTGTAAGTAATTCCAAGTGAACATCCAGTCTTCTAGACTCTGAATTTTCCTCGCACCAATCTTCTAAAGAACCAATAATAATGTTCTATCTGGCCCAGTGTTACACGGAGCCAAGGCACTTACCAGTTTCCTCTGAACTGGAAGAGGGTAGTGAAAGAAAGTGGTTCCAATGTTTATGTATAAAACATGGTGTCCTATTAGAGACTGGCAAGTAGCGAGGTCACAGCGCCTCAGAACCTCTCACACCATTTTCTGTCTACCCTAACACCACTGCCTTCATCTCCCCCCCGCCGTAAACAATCTTTTAGGTCATAAATTAAAATGAGAGGTGTGATTATTGTAGAATAATTAGGCCCCATGGGAAAAGAGACATTCTGTATTTTGTTAATGCCCTAGGGTTGTGATTAGCTAATAATGCAACTAATAATGCCCGTGTCGTTACACAATTATTCTACCTTCTCAGTGTTTTCCTGCGCTGTTAGAATATAACATCCAAGCTCATCTGAGGCAAAACAGCAACCGCAGGCTCCCGTGTCCTGAGTATGTTTGGTAGATACAGGCAATTTTCTCTGCGTTTACAATTTTATTTCAAAAACCACAAAGCCAAAATGCTTTCACTATCTAATTATTCTATGGAAAGTGGTTAATGCATGCACTAAAGGCACATTCTTGCTGTCTTGTGTTATTGTTGTTTTATGTAGCTTAAAAGAAAAAACATCCGCTGCTGTCTGGGAGAAGTGAAGAGGAGCGTTAGTATTGAAAAATTCAATTAGTGGTCCCTAGCAAACAAGGTATTTTCTGGGGTAGATTTACACTGTTCATCACCTGCAAAGACACAGGTAAAGGGTGAATTTTTTCAAGGATGTAGAACTTTTCGAGAGAAGTAGTTAATCTAAGAGATTGATAAATCCTTTAATGGACAATGTTTCTGCCTTTCATGCTGGATCTGAACTCTGGATTAGAAGGATAAAGGAAAAGAAAATTCTTTAGCATTAGCAGTCGGCCTCACCTAAATTGGGAACCCTGTTCATCATCCTGTCTTCTACAGTGAATAAGAAAGAAATGCAGCGAGGTGTACTAATTGCTCCTGATCACAATCCAAAGGACAGGGAAGGCAGAGTCACCAGGGAGGTCTCTGATTTGAGTCTGCCTCTGCTGCCTGTGCACAGGAGTTGCAGTTTGGAAGCTGAGCACACGTCCCATCACTCCTGCTTAAAAGTTATGTCGGAGGAAAGAAGGGTTTTTCTGCTCTGGTGATATCACACCAGCGCTTCAGCAGTTCTAAAAATCAATTCTTAAACATCTCTGCACTTTCTCTGGCAGGTGGGCAGAAAGGAGTGCTTTCCTGAGAGCTTTTAACTGAGCCACAGCCTCTGCCCCATCTTTAGGGTGTCTCCAGTAAGGCTGTGCTCTTGAGATGGGACGCCCAGCTCTAAGAAAACAAGAGGAAGGGCCAGGGGTTTAGCTCAGTGTTCCCATGCCTGCCGCGCAAGTGCAAGGTCCCGAGTTTGATACCTGGTACAAAGAAAAACAAAAAGGAAAAGAAACAAAGCCTTCAGCTACAGCACACTCTGTTTCCACTCCTTCGCTTAGCCAAAGCTTAGTGCCTGCTGTGTGTCAGTCACACTTGCAGGCTCTAGGAAATGAAGCAGGCAGAATTCTTGATCCTCCATAAGTTTATCTTCTGGTGGGATTTTTAAAAGATTTATGACCGAACTGTAAGATATTATCCTTAACTCATGTTTTCCTCTTGGGTTCCTTCCTCCTGGTAACTCTTCTCCCTTTCCCGTCATAAACCAAACTTTGACTCTAGTTTTCCACCTTCTCACACCCCAAACTAATTTTCACACATAATCCGAAGAAACTGATAGAACCACATCAGACATTTCTGGGGCCATGGCTCTCGAACATTCGTGTGCAAAGGAAGCACTAACAAGGCTGTAAAAGTCAATTCCTGAGCCCTACAACCAGATTCTAGTTCTTTGGGTCTGGGTAAGTCTGACTCTGATGCTGGAGGTCCTAAACTGTAACTAAAAAATGTCCTTTCTTTATTATGTATATAAACTGTTCCAGTGCCCCCAGAGAGCAGCATGGTACCTGTCCCCAGCAGACAGAGTGATTCTAACATAATGGTCAGCAGAACACCTCGGCAGTCCTAGGGCAGGAGTTAGAGGGAGTCTGGCCTTTTCCCTCATGGTCATTTAGGATTTGAGTGGGGTGTGCTCAGAGTGGCACCTGCTGTATGAGTGTGAGTGTCCCTGGGACACGAGAAGGTAGGAGCTATTTGTATGTTAAGCTTGACGGGGCTTATATTTACATAGATTTCTTTGTTTCTTAGTTCTTACATTGAGCTAGGGTTTTCATACTAAAGTTATGCTGTGGCCAGTGAAAACTGGAACTTTCCCCAAAGTTCTGCCTCCTGTAGGCCTCATTCTGGAGATGTGACCAACATGTTTGACACTAGTCACAACCGTGTGCACTTTTGCTGGGACCTCTGGCACCACCAAACCTACTCCTGGTGTCTCAGAAACACCATGACATATGCTCTCTGGGGCCTCTTCTTTTATCCTTTCTCAAACAGGAAAGTCATGCCTCTGAGGGAGCTCTGCTCACTTTAGAAAACTTTCAGCCTCAGACAGATTTCCTTTATATTGACCTGAATCTGCCTCTTTGTAACTTCCAAGCACTGATCCTAATTTTAGTCTGTTGAGCTACAAAGAATATTTTGATGTCCGAACTTAAGAGACTGGCTCTCCTTTGGTCGTCTTTTTCCTGGGCTAAATCTTACTTTTTTTTTTTTTCTTGTGGTGGTGGTAATGCTGGGGATTAAACTAGGAAATGCTGAGCTATATCCTTAGCTTTTTTTTATATTTTGAGACAGGATTTTACTGCATTGCCCAGGCTGGCCTTAAATTTGTAGTCCTCCTGCCTCAGCCTCCTAAGTAGCTGGGATCACAAGGATATGCCACCTTACCAAGCTAAACTGAGCTTTTTATTACCGCTTTCTCTCACTCATCTCAACTGTCATGTCTGGTCACCTTCTTCTGGATGCTCTCAAAACTATACACAGAGACAGCTATTCTGATGGCCAAAATAACAATAAAAGCTGCAGAATTTCTTATCCATGTAGTTACCTCTAGAGAGGAGGAGGTGCTAAATCTTTAAATATTGCTAAATGAAGGAGAAAAAATTAACTTTTCCCTTGGAAGACAAAATGGCCAGATTCTCTCCAGTTATAGACTCAGCATATGTTTTCCATTAGCTGCTATATTTCAGGGCCATCTTGTTTGATTCTCACGTCCTTCTGGGTGGTTATGGCCTAACACTCATGTACCACCCTTCTCCTAGAATACTCCTGTGGCATTTTGTGAATTGTTCCAGAGAGAAAGTAAAGGATGCAGTTCCCAGTGAAGACGGCATGGGATTTTTAGGTGGGCAGAATACAGTTACCCAAAACAGCCTCTTGCCAGTCTGCCTACTCTGAAATAGAAAAATATGCGCAAAATATGTGTGTGACATTCAATTTCTATCACATCGAAGCTCTCTCTCTATTGTACATCTGTTGAACACTTAGTTTTTAAAGATTTGAGATTGGATGTGTGACAAATTTGAGTTGTTCCTTTGATTTAAACAGATTACTTATTAAAATTGAAGAGGTTCTTAAAAGCAGCTGGATATGTGACTGAGACACTGGGCAAATTTTCAAACTGTCGTCCAATGACACAGAGCACATGGAGTCTTCTTACTGTAAGGCTTCACCCAGTTAATTCTTCTTGGTCTCATGCTTGGCTCCTCCCTGTCCTATTCTTCACCCTCTCTCCGTCTTTCTACTGGGACTGACCAAGAACAGCAGAATAAAGAGTGAGAAACTATGATCAAACCACTTACTATGTCCAGTATCCCTGGATTTTTAAATAGAAGCCCAAGACATAATTTATTATTTCTTTATAATCAAAATGGGCACACTGTCTCCAGTTTCCTCCATCTCCGCCATAACCCCTACACCGAGGCTTCCTCCATGCCTGTGTGACACATTTGTATCTCTCAGGAGTTCTCTCTTGGGCTCACCCTTCGGGCTGTGAAATGTCAGGACAAGTGCAGGTGGAGGAGCGTTTTCACGCACTGGCCTTCAGACCTGCCTCGAGACCTGGAGGACCTGAGAGCGCACCCATGAGCCATGAGCCCTGCCAGCCCTGGTGTCGTTCAACTTCACCTCCCTGTCCCTGTGGGCACCGAGAGAAGCTCTGGCTGGAATTGGCCGCTGACAACTGTCCTCCCTGTTGCTTTTCATCCCTCCGGATAAGACTGCAAACAGACAGCACCTGGGGACCAGCAGCTCCTAGTCCGGACGCTGCAGAAGGAGTGCTTATAGCCTGGCCATGGGATCCTTTGTGTGATTTCCTGTGAGGTGGAAGAGGGCCGTCCTGCAGAAATAAGACCAACAGCCACTGAGTTACTAGTAACTGAATCTAGTTAGGGCAAAAAGTAGAAAAAAGCTTCTTTTTGTGGTATATGAAATATGCAGTCTTGTCTCAGTTCAACCTCCATCCAATAACTGAAGATTTAAAAATCTCCAAACAGTGCCAGATACTGTGCCACATTCATTACATAGACTACCTTACTTTGTCCCCACAAGGACACTGTGAATTAGATCCTGTTCTTTTTTATTTAAACATGAATTTTAAAACAATGAAAACGAAGCTGGGGAGAACAGTTCTAGTACGCAGCACCTAAATCTACAATATTACCTCCAGTTTTCAGTACCCACTGAAGGGAGGTGGTGAAATCATAGTTTTGTGTGGTGTTGAGAGTTATACCCTCATTTTTCAATAGCTGTGGGGCCAACCTGGGGCCCCTTCTCACAGCACCCATGGCAACCAATCTCTACGGCGCTTCCCCTACTCACTATAGATGAGAAGCAGGGTTCCTTCCCAAGTTAAGAGCGCAAGGGAGTAAAGGCCATTACGGTCTCCGCGGTAGAATGAGGTAATGCAGAGATGGGGAATAGGACCGATCGTGTTTTTAACTTAGCTTTTCATTAGTACATTTGTAGTACATAATGTCTGCATTCCTTGTGGGGAATTGGTACATGTACATAACATTCTATTTTTTAATCCTCTTTCTATTTAAGGTCTGTCTCCCTACTTCCTATTGTCTATCTTTTTAAAAAATTATTTATACCTTGGGATTCTCATAGAAGAGAAGTTATGTGATATTTAAGCTTATATGTCTGATTTATTTCATTATCATTATGGTCTCAAGGTGCATCCATTTTCCTACAAATGACTCAGGTTCATCTTTCATTCTAGCAGAGCAGTGCTCCATTGTGTATGAATACATTTTCTTCACCCATTCCTCTATTGATGGATATATAGTCCATTTGCAAGATTTAGCTATTATGAATTGTGCTGCTATAAACATGGATATACATGTATCACTGTAATATGTTGTTTTCTATTTGTTCCACTAGTATTTAAGTGAGTATTTTCTAGCATAATAAATTTCTTCAATTATTTTTTTCAGTGTTTTTAAAATGTATGTCCTTATTCTCGGAGTTATAATCTTGATCATCTCAGACTGTACTTCAGTTTTACATTCTCAATTTCAGTAAGATATACAAATGTTCCTCCTATATAATTCTTTCACTTCCTACCTTTTTTTGCTACCACAGTGGTATACTGGTTCATGAACATAATTTGCTTTATAATTTTTTTGAGGAAGATAGCCACAGTTGTATTTGTCACCCGATGTGGAGTTTGTGAATAGAAACAAAATTTTGTTGAATGCTTTTGAGAACCAAATTGATTGTGAACAGAAGCATTCATGAACCAAGGTATTACTGTACTTACATAAACAGTATGTCTGTGTATGTTAAAAATCCAACAATTATCACTAATACTTTACATAATCTTTTCTTTAAAAAACTGAAATAAACAAGTGCATATTTATGATTATAGATTCCATTTGTAACCTTCTAATTAGCTGGTTTGAGTTACCATCTTGTATGATATCCCTACTCCAGTATAATTTTGCCCTCATCTACCTCCTTTGTGCTTTTATTGCCAAATATATTTCAATGTGTTACATATCCCACAATTATTTACATTGTTTTGGTCAATTCTTTTTTTTTTTTTTTTTAACCAGGGATTGAACTCAGGTCCTTGCATTTGCAAGGTAGACAGCGATACCACTGAGCTAAATCCTCTGGTCAAGAGATTTTTAATTAGTTAAGAGGAAAAATCCAATTATACTTTTATTGTTATATGTCTGGCTATAGATGTCTGTGTTTATTTTATTTGGAGTTTGTTGATTTTCTCAACTTTGTTAATGTTTCTCATCAAATTGGGGAAATAAGTAGTCATCATCTCTGAATATTTTCTAGTCTTACTACATGTATGTTATTGTGCTTAGTGGTGTGCCATATTCTGATGGTGTTTTTCTCTGTTCTTCAGAATGTATAATATTTAGCAGTATTTCTTTAAATTCACTCATTCTGCCTGTTCAAAATTGCTGTGGAGCCCTAAAATAATTTTTTTTTCATTTCAGTTCTTTAGTTTTCAACTCTATTATTTGTTTTGCTTTTGATATTCTTTGATGACAGAATATTGTCATCATGCCTTTATTCCTTCCTTTAGTTTTCTGAATGTATGTAAAACAGCTGCTTTGATGTTTTTATCTGCCAAGTCTGATATCTGGGCCCTCTCAAAGACACTTTCTGTTGTCTACTCTTTTCCTACGTATGGATCAGTTTTGTGTTTATTATACCGTTTTGTTAACTAGACATTTGAGACAATATAGCACAGCAATTCTGGATATTTATCTTCCTCATCCCCTCCATGTCCCCCTTTCCACAAATTGCTTCCTTATTTGGTTAGCAATTTAGCAAGACTGGTTCTGTAAGGTTTATTCCTCCAGTGTGCATCTGTTATTCCTCAGAAGGACTGTCCTTGGGCTATTAGTGACACTTTTCATTTATCAATGGTGTCATTCTTCCAAATGACTCTTCTTGCCTTTTTGGCTGTTTGATTATTTGTTTGTGGCTGACTTGTCTCTGCTATCATCACACACAGCTTGCAGTCTCCCTAATTTCTAGTTGTTTGCTCTGTTGCTTTCGACCCTATGATATACACTGCCCTGTGGTTTGACCTGATTTAAGTCAGGCCCTTTTGTTCGAGTAAACCTTGAGCTAGTCTGAGGTTGCCCCAACCCCAGTAAACTCTGTTAAAATTTCAGCTGCTTTATTATGCCATCATGGACTATTGGCCTGATCCCAATTGCTCCCCACCAAAATGTTTATTGTTCTCTTAGGCTTGTACTGACCCACTCTCTGTTCCAAATAAATGCATTCCTCGTGGAAGAGCTATGGAGCTTTGCATTCCCACAGCCTATCTCACCTAGAGCAGGACCTCTTGTCAGTGCTCCGGAACTGTTGCAGGGACAGCAGCCTGCTTTTCTTTGAATAACAACACTGGTCCACAAGAGGGTTGCACAGGGTAACACTTGGCCTTCTTGGCTTGCCTTTCTCCACAGAGAACCCCCAGCCAATAAGTGAGACAGGTGAGAGAGAAAGGGGCCAGTGCTCCACACACACTCACACACACACACACACACACACACACACACACACACACAGGCCACCATACTCTTTATCTGGAAGTAGAGCTTTTACAACATAGAATGGGGAGGGGGGTAGAAATGTTGGAAGTCTGCTCTTCCCTGGGAGACCACAGCCCTGGATTTGGGGTTGTAGGGGAAAAGGAACCCCATCTTCTTGACCCTACTCATCTAGAGTACAGCTTCTATCACACTGAACAACAGAAGTTTAGGGGAGTGGAGGTATGGGGAAAGAAGCCAGTTATGGTTGTGGTTCAGATGTCGCAGATTGTCTCTGCTCTTACCAAGAGTTGGCAAGTTTTCCTAAGAAAAATTTTTCTTCATTTGCACATGTACTTGGACAATCTTCAGAGGCTTAAACCTCTGAATTTTATAGTTTTCCTTCCCCAGTTATAGTTATTTCACCGGTAAGAGGGTTCATGGATACTTTTATACTGCTGTACTAGAAGTGCTTCCCTGGTACCACCTATAATTGTTAGAAAAAAATTCAGGTTTTTAGGGCTGGTTTGGAATCAAAATAGGTATTAGAGGTACTTTTTTACCCCCTTACTCATTGGCATAGCAGTTTGGTAAGGACTTTTACATATAAGGATCAGAAATATTCTAAAGGAAAATATACCAGATATGGGCAGAGAGTGAACTTCTGTCTCTAAGTTTAGGTGAACTAAGACCCACCCTCATTTAAGAAACTGTCTAGTAAATTGTTTACATATTTAAATTCCATCAATAACTAGTGGATTAGAAGAATTCTCAGAAATTAATGATTAAATATATGGCAGTGCCCAGAGAAGTAATCACACTGAAGGTGGCTTTCACCTTAAGGACATTTGGTGAATCAAATGAAGGGCCAGAGATTTAGCTCAGTGGTCCTGCCGCCTGCCTCACAAGTGCAAGGTCCAGAGTTCAATCCCTGGTACCAAAAAAAAATGGAATGGCGAGTCAGATGAACTTGGGCATCACTTCTCAAAGCTTCTTGGGATTAAGGAATACAAGGAAGCCCAGAGCCCACCTGAGGACTCTACAGTAAAAGACGACCATCCCCACAGAAGTTTGATACTCCGAAAGTCTGAACTGTTAGCATAAGAAAAATTTCCCTTCAGAAACTGTAAAGAAAAGTGCCTATCTCCAAATTTAGTGCTGAATACAGAGAAGAGAATTTTTCCTCTGAGAATTGATGATAATAAACCAGGTCTAACATAAGCTTGCAGCTAAACCTTATGTTATCAGAAAGATCGGAAATCCTCAAGCCATTTAAAGCTGTCTCTGAAAGGACCTATTTTGAATCCAGGACTCAGACTTTTCAGAAATAATGTTCCAAGATAGGTAAACTCACAATTTTTTTAAAAAAACACAAGTAAATTAAGGACCAAGAGTAAGAAGCCACAGAGACATAGCCACCATATTTAGGTCTACTAAGACCTCACATACTGAGATTCTCAGCACACAAAGGAAAGGAAATACATTTAAAATCTTTACAGAAATTTTAAAGGATTTGAAAAAAATAGCAACTGATTATTAAAAATATCCAGGCATTTTGACAAAATAAACTTTTAGATATGAAAATAATAATTATAAAATTCACTGGATATATGTTTAAAAGCATATTAGATATAGTTGAAGAATTTGAACAAAATAGTTCATGAAATAAATTTTTGTTGGATATTACATTGATATTTATTTATTGGCACATTTTACTGCCTTCTGGCTTCCGTTATTACCATTGAGTAGTCAGATATTAAGAAAACTGTGTTCCTTTGGGGATTTTTTTTCCCCTGTCTGGCTTTTTTAAAGAACTTTTCCTTGTTTTTAGTGTTCTATGTGTTTTATTATGGTAGATAAAAATTAGAGATTTGTTTTTAGTTTTCCTGCTTGAAATTCATTGAGATACTTGAGTATGTGGATTTTTGTCTTTTATCAGTTCTCAAAAAGTTCTTGGTCATTAACTTTTCTCCTATTACCTTATCTCCATTCTCTTTTTGCCCCTCAAGAACTTCAAGTAAACCCATGTTAGATCTGTTCCATGTAACTTAACCTGTCCTATTTTCTGTCTCTCAGTTATGCATTTGTCTTCCAGCTCACCAAGTTCTCACTCGACTGTAAAACCAAGTACTGTAATTCATGTTCACTTTGTTATGCACAATAGTTTTGGGGTTTTAAAATCAAATTCCTTAATTTTTAGAACCGCATATGGAAGTATGGGAAGGGACGTGAAATGTAAGGTCTGTACCTTAACATCCAAAGAGGGGACAGGCTGGCTCTTAAACACTCCAGAATCTGGATGTGCTTTTATAGGATTTTTGTTTTGTTATTGCCTCTGCTTTGTGCATGTTAGAAAAGTTTCTTGATACAAAAGGACTAGAAAAATGAACATTACATATGATTGGCATTTAAGTTCTTTTTCAAAGACAGTTGAAAAGGTGTCAGAAGCCAGTGCCATACATGAACAGAAATTTGACAAGATTAATTTTTTAGGAATTTAGCTTGGCATAAACCAAAAGGAACTATACACAAGGCACAGTGCTGTGTGGTCTCTGAAGACAAGAGTTCCTGGCTGTCCTGATGGAAAGGAAATGCTCTGGATTTTACAGCCAGACATGGACTAAGTGCTTCTTTCAACAGTGGTCAGAATCAAGTTTAGCATTTATCTTCATCACCATAACAAAATGAAATTCTGTGTGATAAAAAGATCAGATTATAGAGCCGTATGAATGAAGATACTTGAAATATTATTTAAAGAAGCAACCACATATACAAAAGAATCACTTTGGAAACCACTTTGGAAAACATTAGGCAGTTCCTCAACATGTTAAAAACAGATTTATGACATGATCCAGAAATCCAATTCCTAGGAACTAAAGAGAACTAAAATGTAAGCTAGGTGTGGTGGGTCACACCTGTAATCCCAGCCCTTGGGAGGCTGAAGCAGGAGGATCGCCACAAGTTTGAGGCCAGCCACAGCTATATAACTGAGGTCAAGGCCAACCTATACTACAAAGCAAGACCCTGTCTCAAAAAAACAAAAGAATTAAAATGTATATCTATGTTGTACACAGTTGTTCATAGCATCATTAGTGGAATGGAAGGGGCTGGGGATTTGGCTCAGTGTTTCGCCGCCTACCTCACAAGCACAGGGGCCCGAGTTTGGTCCCCAGTGCCAAAAAAAAAAGTGGAATGGAAGGATAAAGAAACCGTAATGCCATCTATCCATCTATATAATATTACTCAGCAGCAAAAAGGAATGAACTACTGGCACATGCCATAACATGGATTAGCCTTCAGAACGTTTGCATGAAGTGTAACATGTCTCATTTAGGCAAACCCATAGGCACAAAGTAGATTGGCCGATGTTGAAAGGGATGGAGCAAGAGAGTAAGTGCTAATGGCTGTGCATTTCTTCGAGGGTAATAAAGGCGATCTGAAATCAGGCAAGCTTGGACAGCTCTGAATACACTGAAACCCCACTGAATTGTGGGTTTACCCTCATAAATTTTAGGCCATGTGAATTATATGCCATGAAAACTGTTATTTTTAAAAGAGGAACAGGAGGAGGAGAGGATTTGTATCACAATTATTTTGTTTCATACCACTCTTAATAATGCCACTTGGGTAACTAAAGTTTTCTGTCAAATTCAGGAAGTTGCATGACTTTTTTTCCAAAAACCGAGAAATGCCGTGCTATCTGAAGCAGAAACAATAAGGAAGCCAAGAAATTGCCATTTTAATCCACTACGCCTACCCCTCGTAGTTGAAGTAACTTTCCATCCTAGATGACATGGTATCCAAGAGGACAGATTCTCCTCCCATGGGGCTAATAATGGAGAATCATGCAATGTGACAGGCCTCCCATTTCCAAAAGTGCCCCCACTGACCGGCAGCGAACAGATTTACTACTGGAGAAATCCCTGTAATGGAGTGCACGTGTGTGTGCATGCGCCTGCAGTGCTGGGGTCTGAATCCCAGGCCACTGTGATGATCGCTTTAATGTAATTGTCAGAACGGTCACCGGTAAGTACGATCCCGTGTGTACTTCCACGCAGACACAAAGGAGTGATGTGGGCCTCCAGTGACTAAATGATTTCTCAGTTCGTCTGCTGGGATGACAACGCTTACTTTCCAGCCCGGTGGGCTTTCACTTATTCTTGTGCTTTCTCTCTCCCTTTTTCTTTTCAGTGGCTGCTTCAACCCCCAACTCCACTGCTGGTGCAGCCATGAATTCCTTGACCTCTCTTGGGACTCTGCAAGGGTTGGCTGGAGCCACTGTTGGACTGAATAATATTAATGCACTAGCAGGTACCATAAACAGTGAGTATTTACTGCTCTGGTGGACAGCCTTCCCCCAAATTCTCCACAGAAAATGGTCAGCCAGAAATGACCTAAAAAGGACATGGAATGGGGAGAACTAAAACTTGGGATGGAGGAGCACATGCTGTAATAAGGAAATGCTATCCACATTCATTTTGTCTCAAAAAACGTTCAACTACTTACCACCACCACCACCCCATTTCTTTTCAATATGTATTAAAATAGTCATCCGTGGTTTGCTGTGGTTGACAGATATTTTAAGGCTTCAAGGAATTTGGTTTGGTTTTAGTTTTCTTCTTCCCTGCTGCAAGGAAGTGTGTTATAATAGAAAACCTAATGGAGTAAAGTCAGGAGCACGCTCCCAGTAACTGTAAGAGCTCAGGTGGGTCACTGCTCCCTCTCTGGGTTTCTGATTCTCCATTGGAAAACAAAGCTCTGGATCAGACGATCTTAAAGGTACCTTCCAGTTTTAAAACGCAAAGATTCTTGACAACTTTATAGAGGGAGAAAGGAGGCCTGGGAAGAAAGGAAATGAGGTGGAGAGGAGGTGCTGCTTGAAGAACCTTTATTAACAGTGACTGTGTGCAGGGGCAGCATTTTACTGGTACAGAGAAATGGGTTCTGAGGCAAACTGCTTACCATATTACCTGTGTTCTTAAACCCATGGGCTCACCAAAGAACTCTAGTACAGCTAACCTGTACTTGTTCCTGTCACTAAATTTACCTGAGGAATAGTACCCTGTCCCAAGAAGAAGTTATATTTTAGGCCTGTACTTAATGTAGGACCTGGGGTTGGGGAAACTGTCCTCAGCACATGGAGAGGACACCTGGTTTGCCTGCACTTCCAGTCAGTCCCCCTGGTTGCCCTGGAAAAGACAATCCCAGGAGAACTAGGATAACCAGCAATCTGAGATTTGGGCCCCAGTTACATGCCATACAGCCCAACTCACCTCACAACTGCCTGTTTTAATTTGTAATAAAGGCATCCTCACTATTTGACCTACTTTAAGCCATGACTCAATAAGTAAACTTTTTTTAAAGCCAAAAACAAATTTATACTTTAATAGTTCAGAAAGAATATCATGCAATATTTTTGGTTAAAAAAAATCCTAAGACTCATTCAAATATAGATTAACTTGTATAATCCTGATAAGAAGATAAATCATGTTTAGAAGTAGGAAATTTTCAGAATTCGATTGCTCTGAGGAAAAAAACTCAGACTGTTTTATCTGATCATAGGAAAAATAAAAATGATGGCTCTTCAGTAGCATATAGTATATGATGGGTGGTAACCATGTGAAAGATGAATGTTTTATTCCAATTAAAACTGCCTCCAGCTTTTACGTTTTCCAGCAGACAAATAGGAGCCTCATTGCCTTGACTCCTGCTCCTGGTATTGCTCCTCTTTCTGACCTTGTCCTGCAGAAGTGCCAGCCCACATATCCTTCACCCAGGCTGAGGACGTATGTGTTCATCCACATCCCCTCATGCTGCTTCTCTTGCCCCAGGACCTAGTTCCCCTCAAACAAGGACTTTGATTTGATCGCCTGCCTGTCCTTGGTCTGCAGAGTAACAGGCCAGTGGGGATGGTTGTCCTCCTCAGCACGTGCTCATGACTGCTGTCTGTACGTCCTCTTGTCTGCGTCCTGCTCCTCCCCACCCTACTCTGTTGTATGTTTCTGGGCTTTTACCATCGTAATCATGAAGACCACAGAGGGACTTTGTGGAATGGCAGAGAAAGCAGAACTAGTTCTTGTGTGGGGTGTTATGTTATACCACATTTGCTCTGGCAAGGACAACAGGTTTAAATTGCTTTGCTTCTTTTAATTCTTTGCCATTGGGTTCGCTGAAGAATGTATAGTTTACAGGAAACTGAGAAAGAATGTTTCTGGTTCCAGATAACGCCTACCAGTCAGTATGAACCAGGAAAATGTTTAATTAAATCAAAAATTATACACAAATGGAAATAACATTGCTTCTCATTTGATAAGCGTTACTACTACTGAGCTCTGTTACAATCTCAAAATTGACTTGGAGTTAATATTTGCTACTTGTCTCAAATTAAATATCAAGAGGAAACATTCTAGATTAGAGTATCCTCTTTTTGGAACAGAGTGTTCGCTTTCAAGTCATTCCTCAGCAGAACTGATAATGCTACCTGTTCTCCCGGATAGCTCTCAGAGAAGTTAATAAAAATGGCTACGTGGACAAAGACACATTCTAAAATAGTTGACCATAGCTTCCATATCTTTGCTCTTTTCTGTCCCATGAGCCATTACTTGATACCACAAGGACTGTAAAATTTCATTTTAGGTTTTTTTTTTTTCCCCTAATGGAAACCAACTCTTTCCATGGACAAAGAAACAAAAAAGAAAGTAGGCAGATGACTTGCCTTAGCCTAGATTTGACCTTATTCCCTTTCTAGAGGACCCCATTTCTTCTGAAAGATTCTGGTTTGTAGATAAGTTAAAATGATGTTTATATTCTTTTTCTTCCCTAATACATTACTGAGTGAAGATGCTTTAAAAAAAAAAGAAAGAAAGAAAGCTCTCTAAAAAAGCAAGAACTAGTAAGATCAGAAGGAACATGGGTAATTCAGGGCTTTCACCTCTGGATTGTTTGAGGGTTCCCTGGATACATTTTATATATTATTATCTGAACTAAGATGAAGAAAAATCTTTGTTCAGTTATGTCTGCCCAGAAGTTTGTACCTAACTTGGTATGCTTACATGTAAATCAAGTAGCACCCTTATCATTCCTTGTATAAACTGCATAGCTCTTCCAAATAGCTTACCATATAGCACTTAGAATTATGAGTACTTGAACATAACTAGCCCGAAATGCCTGGTGAGGAATGTTTATAAGATTATTTTATGTAAGGTAAAAGATGATGCTTTGGGTATAGTATGGTACTTTGTCCCTCTTAATCTGCATTTCAATTGAATTACTGTTCTAACCTGAACTCTTGGAGTTTACTAACATGTATGGCGTTAAGATACATACACCAATGCACATAGTGCCACACACCTTTGTGACCTAAACACAGGCATATGTGAAAGTGTCACTGATTGTATTCATATTTTTTTATTTCTCTACCCTGGCCCCAGACATTTTATACTTAGGTTTTCATGTAATAGCGTGTAGCTTAGAATGACATACCTCATACATACAAAGCAAAACTTATCCCAGCAAACAAGTTACATATCTGTGAGACATACTTACATTCCTCACTTTTCTTATTTGGTATAAAATGTAGCAGAATGGCTTACAAATCAGTAGTCTGCGTATGGTACTCCTCTACCTCTGATACTACTTTTCAGTACCAACTCCATGGTGGCCTCTAAAAATATTCATACTTATACTTATGGGTATGTATGTCCTTTTAACAGATTTACTCAGCTCACAGCTTTTTGCTCTCTATCATTTGAGGGCCTTCAGAGAATAATTAGGAGTAAAAGCACATAGGCTACTTACCAACTGCTCTGACGGACCATTACAGAGACCTCCTTTGCAAAAGTTTATCACACCTATCATATTATTCCTGCCTTCATCAGAATAGCTTGCATGAGTCTAGATTAAGTAGGCAGAAACAGTCATGGTCCTCCATTTGGCCTTTTCAAAGAAAAGCTCTGTTCTTTTAAGTAAAGCATTTTATTCAACTCAACTTACCCCTGCTTCTATTTTCCAGAGCTTTTAGAAATAAAGTACCAGGTATTATCTTTGATATAATGATTATTTAATATAGAGTGATATCAGGTAATTCACAGGAATTACTGTCAAACGTTCAAGTGTTCCTTGGATGTCTCCTCAAATTCTGCCATGTATTCACTACCCTTTCTGCCCTTGGTTTTGCAAACAACCGTCACCCCAATTTTCCAGGGTAAATTTTCAGTTTTAGCATTCTCAATGCACTTGCCTTTGTTAGAATTTCTGCCTTTATTTTTATCCTAATGATCCTATACCATAGAGAAGGCAAGCTCTAGGCTGGAGATGCCAAGCTCTCCCTTTCTTGTTTATACGTCCCTGACTAGTCCCCTTTTGGCATTCACTTCCCATCCACTGGATGCCTCCTCTGCTACTTTCCTCCCTTCCCCGGGCAGATAGGCCAAGCATACAGCACCAGCAGAAGCAAACAAGCCTGCAGAAAGCAGATTTTCCCTGAGGTGTGGTGTGAAAACACCACCCACCACTGGGACCTAGAGGCAGGAATGATGGAGCACAAGGCTAGAACTACAACCCTCACAAGAGTCCTGGTTAGTCCTGAAACACCCTTCAGACAGAGTATTCAGGAGCATGAAATTTCATTCTGTTTCTGTGTTTTGAGAAGAAAAAAGTTGGCAAAACGAGAATGACTTTAAAAGATAATCCACCTGACCTGGATAACAGAAAACACCAGACAGAAGGAAGGTGGGGTACCAGTGACCACTACAGAGAGGCCTCCTGGAGAAGATGAGGGCCTGAGAGTACAGACCACAGGAAGGAACTTCTGTGTGGCTAAATTGCAAAGCCTGAAAACCCTAAGACCCTTACCTGACAAGATGTAGAGATGCGGCAGTCTTGTCCATTCCGTGCAATGGCGGGGGATTCAGAGCTCCACATTCATCATAGTGCAGCCAAGGCCTTCAGACTGTACTACTGTCAGGCAGCTGTGCTATCCAGAGCTCCCTGGGCTGCCACATACACTGAAGAGAACCACACACCCAGAGCATGAGTAGAGTGGCAGAGCATTGCTCACTGTCCTGTTAAAAATGCTTCCTGCACAGGAATCTGAGTTTCCAGAGGGTTTGAGCACAAGACTTGGTCTCTATCTCCAGCACCTGTTCACAGACTGAGAAAAGTAGAAACAATAGAACTCAGGAGTGCCTCCTTCCTTGCTGTGTCACTTTATACCTTCCTCTCACCTCTCTCAAAAAAAGAAACATGGGTAATAGTGTTTGCATAGCACAAATTTTGGGAAGTAAGGATGAAATGGGACCAAAGAAGGAAAAGAGTAATGACTCCCCAGCCTTTTAGTAACCATAACAACAGGAATGGGAGCAAAGAAGAGAGACAGTGAGGTAAATGTGATTAGTTGGTGTCTGAGCAATCACTCATATTAATTAGCAGGACAAACTATTTCTAAGCTCTTTAACAGCGATTATTTGCATGACCATTAAAAAAAAAAAAAAGAATAGACTCATGCTAAGAAGTGCAAGCAGATGCAGGAGGACCTCTTGTCTTACTCAGGCTTGCAGGATCTGCTTGAAACCACTTCCTTTCTCGGAGGGCTGTTACGCCGTTCTCAGGCCCTTCACACCTGCCTCACCAAGCTGTGCAGCCCTCTCTGAGGATGGTGTCTTCTGCACCAACCCCCACAGCCCAGCTCTGTCTCCTCAGGCCCCACAGCAGGAATTCCACACCTGAGGCACTGTGAGAGCCTTCTACCATTAAGCTATGGTCTAATTTATATCTTGCATGTTGTCCTTTTGATCTAAGAGATGAAGTTGGCAAAATAAGAGAAGCACGTATGGAGTAAATAGGACATGCCCTACCTCCTCTATTTCCTGTGGATGGCAAGCAGGAACAGTTATAGGAGTGTTAAGGTGATTCTATTTGATTCCTCTGTGTAATTTGCAAGCATCCTTATCTTAGCTGTTCTCTTATTCTCATTAGACTTCTTACCAATTTTCCTCAGTCAGTCATCTTGCTATTTTAATACCTCTAATCAATAACCCTAATCCCAACAAGATTTTCATGAATGCTTTAAGTTTTTCTGAGAAACAGAACTTTTGAAAATCTTTTTAGTCATAAAAGGAACCATGGGCAATTGTGAGGTTACCTCTTCCATTTCCTGCATTTACATGAAAAGTTAACACTCTATGACACCCTGCTTGTTTTAACTGAGCTCTCAGGGAAATGTGACACAATCAGCAACCAGAATAGAACAGCCAGGATACATAGACAAAATCAAGAAAGCAACTAACTCATCAACATCCATTTCCCATCGATTAATAGCAAGGATCCAACACACAGACAGTGTCACTGCAGTGGCTGGGAAAAGATAACATGAAGCTTTTTCACTGGCACAAACCAGGTACCCAGACAGTGATTACTAGACATGTGTGGGTGCACATATGTACAAAAGTGTGTGCCAAGACCACACCATTCATGTTCTACCCTTCGACATGGCATAAGTAGCCTGAGTTCTCTGCAGATATGGAACATTCACTCCTACTCCTTGGTTTTTAAATCATCTAGGCCATTTATTCGTAAGGTCCTCATCCCTGACAGCAGCTCTGTTTCATTTAAGAAAACCAGTTAATGTCACTGCTGACTCACTGGTTTTCAGAGCACAGAACTTGTCCGCTCTGCCACTTGCTCATCAGACAGCTTGAAGGAAAAAAAAGTTTTGTTTTATCCTCTGCCTCCTTAACCCCTTGAGCCATCCCATGGCTCCTCAAAGAGCCCAGTAAATGGATTTAAGTGTACAGATGTCATGATCCTCTGCCACTAATTTTTTTTTTTTACATGCTTCTAAACTCTAAGAAGCAGAAGGCTTTTATTTCAGAAAGATAACAGTGGTACTTGCCAGTAGCACACTGCATGGAATTAAGATGTACTGTCTAACTGTAGTGCCTCGGTGAATTGTGATTACTGGCCTCAGGAGTGAAGGTTATCATTGCTTAGGTCTTTTTCCCATTGTTGTGATTATTTCCTCATGGTTTCGTTCTGATTTTCTGTTGGTTTAATTGGTGTGCTAGCTGCATGCACTAGCTGTTGTACTTGTGTCAAATGATTCTCTAACTTCCTTTGGAAAGCACTAATGAATAAGTGCTATTTCTCTTCTCTATTGTTGGGTTTTTTGTAAAGTTGCTCAAATGCTCTCAGGTATGGCGGCTCTGAATGGAGGACTTGGCGCCACAGGCTTGACGAATGGCACAGCTGGCACCATGGACGCCCTCACCCAGGCCTACTCAGGAATTCAGCAGTACGCAGCAGCTGCGCTGCCCACTTTGTACAGCCAGAGCCTGCTGCAACAGCAGAGCGCTGCAGGCAGCCAAAAGGAAGGTACGTGCCTGCCCTGGGCCCCACGCCACAGCGCGCCAGGGCCAGTCCTACCCACATTTGTCTTTAAAGCACATTTAGAAGACACTGAATTGAACTCACGTCATAAGAAAAGTCAGTTATTTCTAGTGTTCATGTTTTTAAAAATTGCAAGCTTAAGTCATTTGTCTTCTGTTCATCTTTTCAGTTTTCAGCTTTTAAGCTGAAGCTCTCAACCATTGTACTTTTACTTGCATTTATTAGTTGCTGCCATCAGAAATTTGTGAGGAGTCTCCCCCCTCAGTCAGCACGGACGTCATCTTCTCTCTTAATGCAGAAGCTCCTCTTAGCAGGCTTCTGTGAGTGAAGCGTGCTCCTTCCTGCACCCCCAGGGTCCCCAAGTCCACTTCCCTGTGATCGTGTGCCTGCCAGTCAGTAGCCAGTGCTTCTCGAGCTGATGGCGAAATCCACCCTCAGGGTCAACTCGGTCCTTAATTGGGGTCTTCTGGGGAAACAAGTAACTGATTGATTCCCTTGCTTCTCTGCCAATAAGGCAAAATAAAGTTCAGGAAGTTGATGCTAAGGATACATTAAAGCCAATTATAAAATGGTTAATGACAATCTAAATATAGTTTGTCACCATCCCTTTTGAGGCCTTAAGTTGCCTTAAAATAAAATCAGCAACAAGCTATTCTTCCTGACTTGTTTCGATCATGGGAAAATAAGCTAAATTAGAAAATTAATGAAGATTTTCTAGTTTCCTTTCTCCTTTGCCCTTACCCCCTAGTTCCAAACTGCTTTTGTCTATTCTCTCTCTCCATATATATATATGTATGTGTGTGTGTGTGTGTATATGTATGTATATATATTTCAGTACATTTTAGATATACAATACAGTGACATTCATCATTGGGACCTTGTACTTTTTACATGACAAATATTCCTAAGAGCATGATGCCCTGTTAAAATCATTTTACTTTGAAAAGTTGTGTGATTTTTTAACAGAACACAGCTTAAGAGATACTTTTTTTTTAGGTTTTTTTTTTCCTTTGATAAACAACATAGAGATCATTAAGAATATAAGATACGTGGTTTTTTTTAATCATTTCACTTCTCTCTTTACTCTCAGTTGTGACTGTTACTGTATGTTTTTCCAACATGCAATCATTCAGACAATATGGAAAAGGGACCTTACCGTATCACCACCACAGGTCCTCCCCTCCAGTGTTTAGTCCTTTTGCCTGGGGTCTGACTACCATGGAGACAAATAAGATGGTAGGAGAGACCCTGTGAGGTGCTATCCTGAGAGACCTTATGTGCTTTTAGAGAATGCTGGGCACCTCTCCATCATCTAGCAAGGCCTTAGTTATTTATAGCTTGTGCCACTGAGAAAACACACAAAATTCAGGGGCGTTAAGAGGTCCCTAAAACCTTTTTTTTTTTTTCAGTTGCTTCATTAGTGCCTTATGTTTCTTTGTCTTGAGTTTTAGGGATTTGTAAAATAGGTCAAAATAACTATCACCTATTCCTGATTAACATAGCTCAATTTTAATGTGTTAGTTTAAATAAAATGTAATTGAAAAGGTAAATTATACTAGGAGAGGGGAAAACAGTGAATTCTACTAGCAAATAGATTTTGACATTCCTATTCTAGTTAGTCCTGTAGTCAAGAGAACTAAAAAGGCATCTTAATGTATTTAGTCCTATACCTGGTATATTCCTCCCTCCCCAACACAAAGAACATGAGCCGGTCTGTCTTGTAAATAAATGCTTTTAACTTTTTCCCAAATCTTCTGAGGGGTTGTGACACCCAACAGACTGAAATGGAGGCAAACTCACCACCTTTCTCAGCATTCCTAAATACCCTCGACTACTCTCTCATATCTACCCATCTTCCTTCATTCTGAGGAGGCAAGTCTCTCACACACACACACACACACACACACACAATTTAGGGCTTCCAGGGACCAATAGGAAGCCAGAGGCACTGACGGTCTGGTACAGCTTTGTTTCTGCAGACACTCCCAGTGTTCCTGCTACATCACGTACTCTGTGAGAAATACAAAAGATAGACACTCCCAACTAGCTGGGACTAGCAGTGTAACACCAGTAACTCTCCCAAGTTAAAATGACAGGTAGTAGGAGAAACTAGACAAAAGGGTGATTTGTGGACAGGGTTTTATTACTTCTAGATGTAGAGAAAAAGGACAATTCACATGCAGCATCATCATGGGGAAAAGGTAGTGGCCACTTCAGTTGCATAGAAGGGAGGCTTTCCACATGAAATTATCTTTTCCTCATTTTAACACCAAAAATCTAGGGATTTCAGGCCAGGGATTTAACTCAGTTGTGCTACTGCCTGCTTTGCAAGTACATGGTCCTGAGTTCGATCCCCAGTATCCCCTGCCCAAAAAAATCTAGGGATGTAAAAGATAAAATAGTGTCTTAATGGGCTGGAGATTAGCTCAGTGGTGCTGCCACCTGCCTCTTAAGCACAAGATCCAAAGTTCAATCCCTGGTACCAAAACAATACATTTTTTTTAAAAGTAGTTTTTTGGTGATAAAAAAACAGGTTTCTTGGGGCAAACCAGAGATGCCGTTGATTTTTTGGGGGGAAATAATGAGTGAAGGTGCAAGCCTTCCTTCTATCTGCCCGTGATTTTCAGAGTCTCCATCTGGCATAGAAACATACAAAATGTATATAGAATGCTACGAGGCCAGGATTATTCAGGCATACCCAGGAAACTGTCGTGGGCATGAAATGTTATTTTTCCCAGGCTTCAGGAAAAGATGCACTTCATAATTCAGCTCAGGCCACATTAATCCCCATTTGTACATTTGGATCTTTCATTCCGAAGGAACATCAAATCTGGTGGTACTAGATTTGACAGATGTGCATATTGCAAAGAATGGGCATGGCCCAGTAACACCCAGAACACCCAGTTCCAGGGTTCTTGATCTATCATATTAAGTAAACCCCATAGTTATATCCCTTTGAAATGCAGGCTGCCTCCCCTGCACTGCAACAGGGGTCCATCTACATAATCTGTGACCAGTACAGAAAGTTCAAGTACTCACGCAGACACATCTTGAAGGAAGAAATAGTTTATGTCTGGCTTCAATCTTACGTATCAAAGTCTTCCTTGTGAAAGTCCCATTCATTGGGGCATTGTGATTTTATGGGAGCAAGAAAAGAAACTTGCACATTCTTTGCAGAGGTGTTTGTGCACTTATTTTTACACAGATCTTTTTATCCCCGTTTTACTTCTCTTCAACTCATACACAGCCACCTTTCCCACCTCTCCAGGGAAACCACTGTAGCCTGTGCACTGGGGCTTCACAACAGGGCAGACAGCCCTGGTTCCTCTCCCGTGAAAGCCAGTTGCGGATCCACATACCAGCTGCAGAACTCACTTCACCAGCTCTGCGAGCTCCCTTTCCTCCTTCACAATGTCCAAGAGACATCCCACCTTTCTTCTCCACTCAACATAACTTGGATTCCTTATTTTTAACTTTTGGACAGCTGTTCTACAGGAGGGCAGAGCATTCAGAGAATAAAATGGAGAGAAACTTACAACAGCTTACTCCCTGCACCCAGTGTAACTAAGAAGATCTCTCTTCTGTCCCTATTTCTGGTATTTGCTGCGAAAGGATGGGTAAAGAGTAAGAGTTTGGCTTAGCTCAGTCTGAGAAACTCCATATCTATTGCATTCATTTCCCTGTGGTATAATTCTTATCAAAGTTATGGGAATCTAACTACCTTTCTTTCCCAGACATTGACTGACTGCCAGTCATTTCTAATAAAGATGATCTTTATACTATATTAAGATAGTTGGCAAATCATAGCAGGCTGGGTAACTGGGTAAATGATTAAGAAATGTAAGCAGCATTGCTGCTATGTTTATTATTTTAAATTTCCACAATTTGCTTGGAAAGCATAGAACATTCTCTTTTCCTCTAAGAGATAGCCTGCATGTACGAAAAAAAACATGGTCACCCAGGAAAAACCCAATGCCTAGATGCTCTACCCCTCTCCTGCCTACTACTACCATCTTCACCCCCACAAAGAGGTGAATCAAATGAATGCTGGCACGCAGGACCCACAGAAGATTCTGAAAAGGAAGCTGTGCATAGCGGTATGGTTTTGGAAATGAGAAACATTGGAAAAATGAGTGCTTCCCTGAAAGACATGCCAGCTCTTGACATTCATCCATTTACTCTCATAAGAGAAAGCCAAATGTTTAGCCTACATGTTGTTAAACATTCCTAAGAAGAGGCCTTGGAAACTAAGACTTGAGGGATACCTTACACTGATTTTTTCTTCCTCTCTAGGTCCAGAGGGGGCAAACCTCTTTATTTACCACCTTCCACAGGAGTTTGGAGACCAGGACATTCTGCAGATGTTCATGCCTTTTGGAAATGTTATTTCTGCTAAAGTCTTCATTGACAAACAGACCAATCTGAGCAAGTGCTTTGGTATGCAAAAGAAACCAAGTTCGAGTCTTCCAGTAGGGTTCCCAAGTGAGGGAAAAATGTCAATGACCTTTTTGGAGTCAAGATAGGGCTTTCCTATGTGTGTGTTGGGGAGGGGGGTTCTTGATTTCTGAATATGAGTAAGCAGATATAGGCAAAACTGTTTAATCAAAATAAAAGTGAAGTATCTGGGAAATTCCCTTACATTAGGTAATATTCTGTACTATACTCTTAAAGCGTTTTACTATATATCTAATAATTTTAAATTGTAGAGCAATAACCATTTCTTCAAGCCTTGTAAAGTTACCCATAAAGTTTTATCAGATGGAAATACAGTTAACAGACTTTAGCTCAGTCTCTGTTGATACCGAATGTCATACTGAAGACACTTCACCACTAACTCCTCACCACTCCAGGTTTAATAGGACTCCTACATGTTATCCTGGGAGGCTTCCTGTTCAGTGCCTTGACACACACATACATTCACAAGTACAGCTGTGGCCACATCACGATTCCGAGATGAGTCTCATGACTACACAGAGCATGCTGATGGGAGTAAAGGTCCAGAATTGGGGCTTACAGTATCGGCAGGAGCCACACGAATGGTACAGAATGGTACAGAGCACAGGAATGACCCCGTGGACCATGGCTCTCCATGCTGCTCAAAGCCAGCTGCACTGGCCAGTGTAGTTGTCAAACCACCCTTTCTCAAGCAGCTCTCTCAAACTCTAGACTCCTGTGGCACTGTTTTTTCCTCCCTCCCTAAGAGAGTAAGGAAAGTTCACAGCATGTGCTAATGTTTTCACACTGGGAGGACAGCATATCCCCCCCCCCCGCAATCACTTTGGCCCGCAAAACAGCTTAGGGGCCATGATGTTGAGAGCACATATTACTCATTTGGTAAGTTCTGAACCAGTTTCATTATAGCACTGGCTTTAATCAGTCCTGCAGTTTAACAGTCATGTTGGCAGTAAGCAGTAACAGCAGCATAACACAAACTAGATATAGCCAGGAGAAATAAAGAACTGTGTGTTGCAAGAAAAAAATATTGAAGGTAGGATGGTTCTCAAACAGTTGAAACCTAAAACTTACAAGTTGGCACACTGGCAGTGGGTCCCAAGTCCAAAGAGAATGGTGTGGCTTCCAAACCTGCATTATTGTAAAGTCTAATTTCTATGCCATCACCCAGGAGCTCTGAGGCTCCGCCGCCGTTAGGGGAATTAGAACGCCAACCATTTCACGTCACTTTCACCGTAGTGCGAAGGCTGTCAGCCCAAACCCATTTTCCTACTGCTGCTGCCGTGAGGACTGTGTGCACTTTTTGTAATAGTTCATGGGAGTGACATGGGAATGACGTTCCATAAGGTATGTGTCAGCATGAGCTTACCTTTGGGAGGCTTTCCTGCCCAAGACTGCGAGGTAGCCTTTTATATTTTTTTAAACCAATGAACAATACGCCAGGCTTATTTGGAGATTGGAAAAGGACCGTGCTTTGGAGTTTGAGAAAATATTATCTTGAAAAGAGATCATCATCAGTCCACGAGCTATTTAACTAACGTGTTCATAATAATGCAAACTATAGCTATGAGAATCAGAACACTTTGAGATGGCATTAGGGGCTGGGTTTTAAATTTATAAAAAGCCTTAACACCCTAGATTTCCCAGAGCCAGTCTGTTTTCTCAGGGCCACGTTTTGCTGGAGTCCTAGTCATTAGATGACAGCCCCTCCTTTCATCTGTGCCTGGGTTTTGTTACCCATCTCACTCTTGACTATTTCCCCTCTTTAGTCATCTTGCTCCTTCTGGATGAAGACCCTCGGGGAAAGCAGTCAGAACAGAAATCCTGGATTTGAGATCCCATTTTAGGGGAATGAGAATTGATAGGAAAGTAAACTAGTTTTGCAAGACAGCCTGCCTGAGAAAACTTTTTCTGCCTTACGCTGTATGCCCACTTTTATCAGCTGAGAGGAAAATTCAGCTCAAAATATTTTTGTCCTTTTCTTTCTCTTCTAGTTTGTAAAGGATTTTCTCTTTATCATTAAAGTTTAAAAGTAGATAAATGGAGATGGTATAGAACCTGAGCAGGTGATGTCAGAACTGAAATTAAATCTGTGTAACAGCTTCCTTTCGACACTAGAAGTCAGCAGGGACTATACAAGCTTAACACTTGTCTCAGCTTTAACTAAAGCTTTGCTTGCACCCCCTTTCTGGGCCTCACCCCTCAGTGTTAGAACAAACTATATGATCATTATTCTCCTGTTTGAGTCTCGGCAGAACGTCATTGGTTCTTTTTCAAAAGCATACCCTTCCTGTTTTCTTGGTGGTAATGGCTGCTGCAGCAAAAAATACTGGGAATTCTGTTCGGATGGGTAAGCCCTGAGCTAGTTAGACTATATTTCTACTTCTGAAGGGGACTTTGAATGGTACAAGGTAGCAGTCTTGTTTCTGTTCAGTTTACTAGAGCAGAACTCTGAAGAAAAATGCCCAAAATTTCCCTGAATTCTTCACAGAAATAACTCCAAAGTGTTACAAAATCAAGTATAAATTATTCTAATTCAATAGTGAGTTAATTCACTAATTCATCATAAAGCCAAATGGGTATAGATTCTTTCTAAAATATACAGATATGGACCAGGGATTTAGCTCAGTGGCAGCGCACCTGCCTCACAAACACGGTCCTGAGTTCGATCTCTGATCTCAGAAAATAAAAAAAAGATAGATATAGATATAGATATAGATATATACATAGATATATGTAGATATATAGATAGAGGCAGAGAGAGAGACTGGAATAACAGTGAAGGTCTTTGATAGTATGTACCTTACCAGCCCTTCCTTAACTCTCCTGCTTTTAAGCCTCACCTGGGTCGTACATGGGAGCTGCTGGGGCCTCTTTGAGCCCTGGAATACTTACACTACTGCTAATATGAGCAGTGCTCACCTATCTACCCGAGGTTCAAATAAAGAGAACAAATTCATTCCAACAACTGAGTTTGAGATTTTAGTCTTCTGGGGAGGGGTTTTATGTCACATACCAAATTACCAGTCCAATTAGCTTTTGGCTACTTTTACTCAGTGGACATTTCTAATGTTGTCCCTTAAACGTGTCCCTAAAATGTTCGTGCCACACCGTAAGTTCAGTAGTACCAAACAGACTGTGGGACTGGCATCTGTTAGCATTTGCAGTAACACTATGCTAGCCATCCCTGGAAACGTCCTTTCCATCCTGACTCCCTCTCCCTCCTTTTCCTCTGTTTATTTTCCAGGTTTCGTTAGCTATGACAATCCAGTCTCTGCACAAGCTGCAATCCAAGCTATGAATGGCTTTCAGATCGGCATGAAACGCTTGAAGGTGCAGCTGAAACGCTCCAAAAACGACAGCAAACCTTACTGATCCTAACCCCAGAGGCTCCCAGCTCTTATTTTAGCTTTCTTAGGGTAAGTCCCACGAGCCAGCCTGTTCTCAACAGGGAAGGCAGAGGAGGACCACATTGCCAATTCTTACCAAGAGAGACGGTTATTTCTACAGTAAGGCCTCCATTTCCCCCACTCACCCCCAGTTTACCATAAAACTTGGGCTACCTTATTTCTATTGAGTAAATCCTCCTCCAGTTGTGCCACTGTATTCTCCTTGTTTTGCAATTTGAATCTCCTTTTACCTTTTTTTAAAATTGGTTTTCTTGTTTTTGCTTTTTTAAAGAAAAACATACACACAAATAAATGACATCTTGAGAATTTAAAAGGCAAACAAAAGCTAATGTGCAATTCTAACTCTGAAACCACTGGTGCCCCAAGAGCACTGCCTGGAGAATTCACCCCTTTGTCCGCGCCACCTGCCCCTCCGGAGGGCCCCGGCGGTGTTTAGAGTAACGAGGTGGTGGCCTAGCAGAGGGAGAAGCCAGGAGAAGCACTTAACACACCACAAAACGTCTTTCCACTACATCGGTTTAAGAAGTAGGATTTTACTTTAGGGTTCAAAAAAACATGACACTTACTGGTCATATTGGTCATATTATTACACTGGTTGTCTATTTTGTTATTGTTTTATTTTTGTTTTTAGAAAGGATTAATGTAAAAAAGATTTAGAGATCTGTTTCTTAAAGCTACAGGGTTTAAAAATAAAATAAAAATGAGTGAAAATACTTGATGTTTCTTGAAAGATAAATTTAATAATAATAAATAAATACATAAATACATAAATAAAAAAGCCACAGGCCTGTAAATTTTATTTGTAAAAAAAGCATTTCTATTTTTATACAAAATTTTTACTGCCTCAGAAATAATGGAAGTTATTTATTGCCTATTGTTAACTTATTGGGTACCTAAAGAGCAGTTCTCTGTCTAGCTAGAACCTTCTGAAGTAGTCTCTAGAGGAATTGTTCTAGGAATGGGCTTTTTTTCACCGTTGAACCCTAGACCTAAAGTTCATGCTTTATCCTCTCGTTGTTCGTATCTGTCTGATTATTTTGTTCGTAATTTCCATTATCTAGTTTACAGTTCAGTCGTCTGACTTCCCCGTATGTCACCTTTGTTGAAACTGGACCCTTGCCCCTGTCCCTTGCTAGTCCCACACCCCAAAGCTCCGGAATCCATCCCCTCTCACTCTCTCCAGATGGATTCTCTTGGGGTTTCATTGTGCTGTGGAAAAAGTGTAAGAAATGCAAATTATGTGAATGGCTGGTAGACTCCCTAAAGACCTAAGATTTGCATTAGTTTTTCTCCTGCACCCTTAAAAGTGATTTTGTTGCTGCTGCATAGATTCTGTGTAACTTTTTACTCTTCCTTGTTTTTTCCCTAGACATCTTCATGCCCGTTAGTTCATCGTTTGCCTAGCATGTCCCTGTGGCGTCTCAAAAAAAAAAAAGTTTCATCGTCCCGTCATTGTTTCTGATGTCTTTCTGACCTCACATCATATTTGGTTCTCCTACTGACCTTTGATCTAGTTTGACCTTTGAAATTTGCATGTGACCTCATCTAGCTATGAATTCTGGGAAGTCAATGTGAAAAACATTGCTGCATTCATGCAAGACTGAAATTAGACAAATTAATTATAGGAAAAAAACCTGTGGCAAAAATCTTTTTTTTTTTTTTTCTTCTCCTTTTCTTTTCACAAAACAGACTTGAAAGTATTATACAGGGATTGGCATTCTTCCCGGTCACTGGTAACAATAGCAATATGTGTCCAGGGACACAGAATGTTGGTTTCTAACAGACTACTTCCAAAAACAGTTTGAGAAAAAAACTGTCTGATTTTAAGTCTCTAGAGGTCTGTAGTTTTTACATTTTTCAGGCAGTGTAAAGTTTTTTGATAAGGCCATTTTAGGTGGCTCACTTTCTCATTAAGATATATATATAGAACCACTTTTTGTAGATTAGTATAAGAAAAATATTTACCCTGTTTTGGGGCAAATGCTACCTATTTGTGTCACCTTTTGCTGAACTGACTCACAGTTAGACAATCCATGGTTTAATGCACATGAAATTACCTATATTTTATACTGTTTCGATGTACAGGAGAAAGGTTACTGTAAACTGTTATGTCGGTGCTTCTGTGAATTAAGTTGTGGTCTTATCATGAGTCTTACAGTCTTAATGTTCTTCGTTGATAAGACAAGTTTAGAATTGGTTTACTTAAAGCAAAAAAGAATTTCAAAAAAAAAGTTGTTTGCTTAAAAAAATTTCATGTGAGGAAAAAAAAACAAACCTATTCCAGAATAAGTTGTGTTGGCTTGTGAAGCATTGATGTCATTTTTTCTTTTATTGTGGACTATTTAGACGTGTTTGTGTTCAGCAAAATGTGATCTTTTTTTTTTTCTTTTAAAGAAAAAAAGTGAAAATATATAGTGCCAAATTCCAAAGGTACTTCCTTCCTAGAGCTTCAGTGTGTTTCTTGTGAGAAGTAATTTGATAACATGGGTATTTTATTATGTGTTTTGTATAAATCCCTAATATTTAAAAAAAAAAAAAAGGTTAAAAAGTTTGTTAACTTGCTATCCTGTGGTCTTGTTGCCTGAAATTGTTATTGTTTGTTATTTCTCTATGATGTTTTTTGTAAGACATTGTATAAGTGCCCATGTCTCACTTTTTTAACCACTCTGCCCATCAATGCTGTGAAGGCAACCTCACAATGTATTTTCTTCATAATATATGGAAACCTCTAAGGTGAAAGTCTTGAACTTTTAACCCTTTCTACCCAGAGCTATGTGGAATGTTGGTAACCTTTTATACGGTCATCATTTGAATTTGTTTTGGGTACTTATGATTTGGATTTTTTTTTCCCTCATGTGTTTTTATTTTTACTACATTTTTATCCTTTGAGATCCAAATTGAAGAGGGGGAAAAACAATTTATGACCTATAACATCTTTTCTTCTCCTTGGATTATTCTTGATCTTTTTTTTTTTTTTTTT